AGCTATACTTCATGTTATCATACATAATCATGCCCGAAATTTTCCAGATTTCAGATAGTCTTTAACCCATAAACACTGGCAGCAAAAATAGAACTATCTTTCACTGCTTCTTTAAGCCTCTGGGAATCTAGTAATTTTTGCATTCTAACTACATAGTAGTCATTTTTTTATACATGTACATTCTTGAAACAGCATCTTTATCCTCATTACTAATAATTATCCATACTTTACAATACCGGTGAAGCTCTCATGGAAGATTGCCTGTTAATTTTTTCACGCCCCATTCTTTGTACTTATTTGGCAGATGTCCTTCTTGTAGAAGCTTTTCTGCAAGAATAAACCAATAAATTAGAAAATGCACTCTATATCGGTGAACTAGAGGTATCATGCTACACTATATTCAAAAATAGCAATAAAATCTTTTTTTTTTCACGGACTAGTTACATTACAAAAGTGAGTGGTTTTCAGAATATGATGATTTTTGAAGAATGTTTTTTCACCATTGGCATTTCTTCCCCTCAAAAATCTCTCTATACCGATAAACTATAGATACCATATTACAATTCACCTAAATATGGAACTAAAACCTTACTTTTTTGTGACTAGTAGCATTCCAAAATACACATAGTTGCTTCGCACTCAAAAAATAAATTATAATGTGACACCTCCAGTTGTGCGTGAAAATGAAATCTGTCAAAATTTCGTCCCCAAAATTTTAATTATTATTATAAATTTCGATTTCACGTAATTTCAATTTCACAAACAACATACCACTTGATTTACGATACATAAAAGTTGTTCCAGACTTTCGAAATACCTAAATGAAACAAGAAAGAGAAAATGTGAACAACGATTAAAAAGGCAATATGGCCAAGTTATTGTTGTTATCGCTTTATAATAATTCTGTTTTTATTAGTATATTAATATCACGAACTAAAACTATTTTTTTTACACTAAACTAACAATAAAATCATGTCTAGCTCATCTGCTCCATCAATTGAAATTTTCACCCCTTTATATATCTTTTTAAAAACCACATCTTTAGATAAAATTACCATTTCCAATATAATTACTCAACAATGGGAATGTGTCAAAATTAAGGATAAAGAACGTAGATGACATCTTGAATCATTGCAAAATATTAATCAGGTATTTTTTACCGCTTTGATATTCGTATATTGGATAATAAAGTGATGAATAAATATCTAGACATTAATAAGTATAATAAGATTGAAAAGTAACATATTGTCAGCGAGAATCCCTTTTATTATACTTATTATGATGATTTTTTAAGACAATGATGCCGACTATTTCTGATTAGGATGGATATTTGTGCAAAAAAATAATGATGCCTTATTAACCCATCTTTATATTTATAGATGTTATTTATTAGGAACGAACTAACATCATTAAAAAATATGGGGCTCTTACATGGGAAATTCGATGAAGAAGTGAATTGGAAAGATTTAGCCTTAAATAATATATTGCTTTTGAAGAAAAAATCAAGTTATTTCGTTTATCTAATTTGGATTTTCTTTTTTTACGACTTTTTTCAATCTATTAGAATGAAGAGACACCGCACATGAGCATATTTTCACAAAAGTGAGATGAATTATCAAATGACGATCCATTATGTATTGGAATGATTGATCTTAGTTTAGAACTCGCGCTATATAATAATTAATTTTTTTTTTTGGAAAAAATGAATAGACTGATCTGCAATATTGATTTGTGGTTACCTTTAATAACTGCATAGAAAAGATTCGTAGAAAATTGCTAAACTAAAATGATGTTAGCCGGCTATATTTACATGCACAATTTCTAATTTTGATAATGGTTTTTCGCGTTAATTTACAAATTAGGTAATGAGTGGCTTAGCACTAAAGATTTTTAAACGAACAAGTCACTAAATAAAATATATTCTATGAAATTTATTTTTCACCTTCATATCCTCAATTTAAAATCCTTTGCTTTTTTTTGAGATTAAATACAAATGTCTTGGGCTCTTGCTTCACATTCCACGCTAATTAGTGATTACCGTCGTCATCGAGTTGGAAATGCCTCACCACCACCGGAAAACAATCATGTTAGATTGCGGTATTTTCAGAAAAGGTGTGTGCTCTATATCATCAAGTTTTGATGTTTTTAAATAAAATTTATTGTACATATTTTTTCTTTTTTCTTATGCACGCAATTACATTTTGATATAATAATAGAATCCCAGGTTTTAGTGTCGCACCTTATGATCCCCCACCTCCGCTGTCACAAAATCCTAGACAACCAAGTAAATATCAGGCGTGTTTAATGTGACTTGACCAACTTTTTAATTTATATTTTTTTTCATAATTAGAGATTTGCATCATCGGAGCAGGGATGTCAGGTATGTCATATAAATATTCAAAATAATAATAAATCTTTTGATGACATTATTTAAATCATTGTTTCTCAACTCTGTCATAATGAACGGATAGGACTATTTTCTGCGTTACTCTTACAGAAAGCTGGTATTCAAGATATTACGATTCTTGAATGTCAAGATCGCGTAGGCGGACGTGTGCATACACAGTATTTTAGTGAAAAAAAGGAAGAAAAATTATATGGTGAGCTTGGAGCTATGAGACTACCGGTAACTCCAGAACATCAAATGGTGTTCGATACTATTGATTATTTGAATGAGCGCATTCCTGAAGACGACCGGATCCATCTTATCAATTTTATCTTTTCAAATGACAAGTATGAAATTATTCAATTTTTTATCATGTGTTAAATAGTGATTGATTGAGGCGTTAGCATTAAATCTATTTCTGACACAATCAATAATCAAACAGCGGTTTATATTTTTATAATGATTCCCGCGACAATGGTCAAATTGGGGATATAGCATGGGCAAACGATTCTCAAAATTTCAACAAGCTTGGGTTCGCATCAACTGTTAATCCTGATTACCAAACATTACTCAAAAAAGCAATGGGTGATTTTATCGATGCCCTGAATTCAGATTTTGACTCAGGGCTCGATTATCTCTTGAAATTTGACCAACATAGTGTGTACTCGTATCTCAAAGAAGTCTACTTTCCTAGTCTCGATCCAAACTTGAATCAAAAGTATAATGTTGATGAAACCATCGGTGCGATGGAAATGACAGAATCTGCAACAGGATTATTTAGACTTTCGTTTGTTGAAGCTGTGATGGATGCTTATACATTTTCGAAGGTTTCCCAAGAGTGGAAAACGATTGATAACGGAATGCAACGATTTCCTAATGCATTCCCGCTTGTTTATGCAAATGAAAAGCGTGGAAAAGTAGATGTTAAGTATAAATGTAAAGTTTATAAATTAGAAAACATAGATGTAGATGGAATATTGAAATTGCGTGTACATTGGGAAGAAAACGGATCTGATAATGTGCGTGTTTTTGATAGAGTTATAATTACTTGCCCATTGGGCGTCGTTCGTCATTGGGAATTACCTGGTTGGTTATGCAAAAAATTAATATTTTCTTTGGGTAATTAATTTATAGCGTTACTGACATTTACGTTTTGTAGAATTAAAAAGTTTAGAAGACCCAAAAACAAGCGATAATTTTTATTACAAAAGACGTGCAATTCGAGAATTGAATTATGATAACTCTGCTAAAATCTTTTTGAAATTCAATTCTCGCTTTTGGGAAAACCAAACGGATTCACCCATTGTCGGAGGTAGCTCTACAACTGATCTCCCAATTCGGACAGTCATCTATCCATCATATTATGTTGGCATGCCAATAGATAAACCTGCCATCCTTCTCGGCTCTTATACTTGGGCAAATGATGCAGCAAAATTTGCTCCATACTCGCAACAGGAGAATGCCAGACTTTGTATTAAAGACCTTAAAATTCTCCATGGAGATCAGGTGGAGAAAGAATGGGATAGTGACCCAAAATATAATTCATCCATCTACTGGCCAAATGACCCAACCACTGTTGGAGCTTTTGCTCTTTTTGGTCCAGGACAATATAGCGACCTAATTTATCCAATGATAAAACCAATGTATAATATACATTGGGCTGGTGAATACACTGATATACATCATGCTTGGATTGTTGGGGCTTTGAATTCAGCTGTTCGAGTTGTTAAAGAAATTTTGATTCATTCTGCTATGGAAGAAGAATGGAGGGAGTTGATCAATGAACAACCATTGAAAAATTGGCACGGGCATTTAGAGGACGGCAACACAACATATTAATGTCAAAGTGTCATATTTGGTTAAAAATTTTATCAATGTGATCATGTCTTATCATATAATTAAACAACCCATTTTTTTTTGTATATACTTAGCTCAATTACATTTGCTTATTCTTTTGCCCTATAAAAAGATGGAATATCCTATATACAGAAAGGTTCTTTTTTTGAAATATACAGAACCCTACCAAAAATGGAAATTTATTCTATAAAAAAGGAAACTAAATTGCAGCTCAAATTTTCGTAACGTCCTCGTGATGGTTATTTATATGTGACGATTAAACTTGTGAGTTCAACTCTAAAAATAAATTCTTATTTGTCATGTAGGTTCTGTATATTTCATAAAAAGAACCTTTCTGTATATCAGATGACCCTAAAAGATTTGGTAGTTACATAGTCTTAAAACCATGTAACTAGTTTGCTAGACTATGTATCATCTAATGGGGCTAGAGTATGTATCTACTAGATAGACATAACTATGGCTATTAACCTAGTAAGTCGAGTTGTATGCTGTGTTGGTTGGTACAATTTCTTTCATTCGAGGTCATGCACATTAATGTGGTTGCTGGCTTTCATTCAATTATCAAATGTTTTCATAGATGCTCCCAATGAATAGGTTAGAAATATTGCTCACCTGTACATTTCAAATTCTGACATTTACATAGAGAAACTATTCTCTCTACAATTTTTTTAATGATAGGATTCACTCCATGTATAAGGCAACCTGAAATTAACTATTATAATAATCATGTTAATTTAAACATTTATAAAAAAAATATCTATAAAATAATTTTGTTAAATTTATTATTAAGAATCTTATGAGCCTTTTTCATGTTGGCTGCATTATCAGTCAAAACTGCAAAAACTTTATCTTGGCCAACTTCATTAATTACTTCTAATTTTTCTGAGATATATTCAACAGTGTGTGATGATTCTTTGGTTTCTAATGCCTTCCAAAATAGTGGTTTTTGGTAAAGTAACCATGAAATTAATAATTGATTTGTTACAGTTGTCTACCCAGCCATCATCACTTGTTATACAGACATATTTCAAATTTTCAATTTGATTATTGTTATTTTCAGTAATTTCATTATATTTATCATTTAACAATTTGATAGTGAGTGTTTTTCTGGATGATAATTCATAAGCAGGACATGGTTTTTTACAAAATTTGATGAAATACTGATTTTCTACAATTGATAAGGGGAGACCACTACCAAAAATTACTAGAGATAAATATTTGTCTAGTTCTTCTTTTTCTTTAATTGAACATTTATCAATGAATCCTTCCATGACTTTTTGTTTATTTTTTCAATGAAAATTATCAAAATCTTTCCTTTTAGTTTTATTTTTTAACAATATTTTAAATTTATTTGGTGCACTATTACAAGAAAGTAAATGTTTAATCATGTGAAGAGGTTATCCATCAAAAGCATGTTGACAATAATTACAAGAAGCTATATAATGCTGCTTGTTATTTTTTCTTTCTTGTAACGTTTTAAAAATGATTCCTAAAATGCTGTGGTCTCATTTTCTGGTTGTGTTAGATTGAGTACTGTGCACTTTGTGCAGCAAGTACTGTACGAACCATTTTTAATAATGATAATTGTACTTACATGCCTTTTTTGGGTTGGGTATGTGGGATTTATAATCATACTCAATCTCTAATTTTTTATGTTCATACAGTACTTGCTTGCATGAAGTGTACAATACTCAACCTGCATATACCCCTCATTTTCTCATTTAAAAAAATTTATTATTTTGTACAACCATGGCAAAAAGTGGTAATGGTATATAACAGGGTATAAACTACATCAGGAAATTTTCCCCGTCACAATATTACGTCTGTAAATTTTAATATGTAAAGTTGTAATATTTGCATAAAAATTATGTAATATTTACACTCGATGTAATAATTGCATAATTTTTGTATGCTTATTTGCATAATATTACGGGCCCGCCGTAAACTTACGTAAATAGTGTAATAATTACATAAATCCACATCAGAAAAACTTCCTGATGTAGGTTGTTACCTTTAATTCAAATTTAAAAGTTTATTCGAATTATTTCCCCAAAAAAAATCTACAAAAAAAAAGTTTTAAATTTCAAATTCACTTTAAAAACGTGTTAAAAGGATTGGTCAATTGTGCCTGGATTAATTGTGTGTTTGTAGTATGACAACACATTTACATTGAATAACAAGATAGTTTGATTGAATTTCACCTTTTTCTAAGATTCCTTGGAGAGTTAAATTATCTTCTATTTTGCCTTCTCTTAATCACTTTCTAAATAACTCTTTGCTTTCTTCAGAGTTTAATTTGATAAGGTTGAGAAAGATATCTCTTTTTGGCATCATTTCTTACTGAATAAAGTTTCCCAGTGATGTTGTAGTAATGATTAAACTGATAAGCATAGAGAATCATATTTCTACAAGCCCCTTCAGTAGGATTTCTCTTACAAAATGCAGACCAGTTTTCTTGATTACAATGACACTTCATGACTATATCAAGTGCCTTTATATCTATATCAGATCTGTAACTACTACTTAGAATACTAATTACTCATTGTCTGATTTCTTTGTTATTTAACTGTTTAACATTTCCTTGCTCTTTATCAGCTAATTGCTTTTTCAATGTTTCAATTTTGTTTAATAATTCTTTATTTGCTTGTTGTTGTTCATTTATAATGTTTACCATGATTTTTGTTAATTATATTCTTCAATTTTTAATAAATACTTAATATCTTTCTTTTTATAAAAGCATTATTAAGT